CGGAGATTAGGGGAGGGGTTGTGCATAATTTAATATTTTTAGTAGTATTTTCTAGGATGCCAAATATTCAATCATAATATCATTTCTTTTGAGACTATAAAGTATAAAAATAAAAATACATTTCATCAATATATTTATTTATTTATTTTCACAAAAAATATTTTACAAAAAATAAAAATTCTTCAGCTATTTTGTTTATCAAGTTATTTGAAAATTGTACTTTCTTCCAAAGTTTTTTACCGAATATCTTCACCAATTAGTCAAATAATTTAGTGAAACAATTTGTAAGAAATTATAGTTTTTTTCAATAATTCGTTGTGATTTTTTTTTCTTCTTTTTTTTTGCCTTTTGTACACTTGAATTTATATTGGGGATAGAAGAAAGAACAATTTAATTTGTTATTGTGATCAATTTATTGTATTTTATGGGTGCAAAGTGTCAAAATGCTACATTTAAAGGATACGAAGTGAAATTAAGCCTGAATATGAGTTTAAGTTCAATTTTAGATAAATTCCACTTTCCCCCCTTGTATTTTGGCTCGATATCACTTACTCACTTCTACTCTTGATTGCATCGATTTGCCCCTTGTACTTGAAAATTTTCTCAATGTGGCCCTCGCCGTTAGTTTTTAGACCTTTGACCTTAACATTGCCACATTGAGACAATTATTCAATTGCAGAAGGGCAAATCGATGCAATCGACAATAAAAGGGGGTAATGTGATACCAAACCAATGTGAAATGGAATTTACCCTTCAATTTTTAGTTAAAACTAAACTTTAAAGAAGGTCTCTATAATATCTTTAAAACTCTAGGGGTCTAAATACAATTAGGTTCAACCATAGAGGGCCAATATAAATTACTCAATATTTTCGTTCAGAGTGAAAATAGAATATTCAAAACGTCAATTGCCACAAGGGGTTAAGTGTAACTTAAAATCAAACCTCAAGGGATGTGTCTTTAATTTTTCAAATCTAAGGGGTCTAAAATAACAATAGTTAAATTTGGGGAAGTATAATTTACCCTAAATATTATTTAAAATTTAGAATTATATAAAAAGTATATATTCCGTATATAAGTGGCGTATAAAATTAATAGGGAATAATTGTTTTTCCTATGCATATTTACTGCACAAATGCAGAAGCAGAACAAGCACAAAACCCTACTTTTTTGTTTTGTGAAAGTAGCCCCACATTTTACCCTATTTACATTGTGACACGCACTATTTTATTAATAAATAATAATAATCACAGGATTTACGATTAAAAAAAACTCTGATTATGTTTCTGTAGCCTCAGCTTTATATAGTTGTTAATTAATATTTTTGGAATATTCATACACTATTTCCACTTTAGATTATTTATAAATATAAAAATAGAGAGAATCACAATGAGGCCCATGATAAGGGACTTAAATGCACTTAGATTTACGTAAAAAAGAGTCTTGTAAATAATCTCATACTCATGTCTTTTGTCAAAAATATCCTCTATATTATGCAATTCCTTTCATTATACTCTAATTTTCTCAATATTAAACATTGACCTCGGATTTTTGATCAATATATCATATCAATTTTCATAATTTTTTGAAAAAATAATTATTTTTTCAAAAAATATTTTTTTTTATGAATTTTTTTTTTCAGCCAGATTCCGGTGTTGACTTATTTATAGTTTTTATTTTGAAAACTTTTTTTTTCTAAAATATTTTTCAGGTCGGATTCAGGCGTTGACTTTTTTTTTTCCTCTCTAAATTATTGTGTTAACAACAAAATTATTGTCTGAAAATAGTAATATTAAATACCAAAATAATAATATTACTAATATTACTGTCTCAAACAGTAATATTATTGCATGAGACAGTAATATTACGGTCGAAGACAACAATTGCAGGTTAAGACGATAAAATTAATTAATACAGTAAAATTATTGTCTCAAATAGTAATATTAATGTCTGAGACAGTTAAATTACTATTGCAGTAAGTAATTTAACAGCCAAGACAGTAATATTAATTAAATTTTTTTTTTAAAAAAAAAATCAACGCCGGATACAGTAATATTACTATCTCAGACAGTTATATTACCGATGGAGATAGTAATTTAGCAGCCAAGACAGTAATATTAATTAAATATTTTATTTAAGAAAAAATAAAATTTCAAAAAGAAAAAAAAAAGACAACACCAGAGACCGACGGTCAACGGCGGTCACCGACGGTGGTGGGTCAGAATTGGAATGAGGGTCAAAATTGATTAATTGGTAAAATTGGGCTAAGTTGGGGTGTGAATCATGAAATTGGAGTTGAATTAGAGTTTCAAGGAATTGATGGTAATTTTGGCATATATAAAAAAAATTTCCTTACTTGAAAATAAGTTTGAATGAGCTGGATTTAGTTGAAAGACAAAAAAGTTGAATGTCTCATTTTTAATTAGATGCCCTTATCATGACTCTATTTGCCATTTATCCATAAAAATATAATTTAATTTCTTTCTATTAGAAAACAATGTATAATTTAAGTAATTTGTGTTTATCGAAGTGATTTATGGTAATAGTAATTATATAAAAGCAAAACACTAAAAATACCCTTCACACTTTAATATGCTTCAATTTTATCATTTAATTCAATTTAACTTTAATTTAACCACAAATTTCACCAATTATTTAATTTTGACCTCTAATTCAATTTTGACTATAATTTCGCCCGTAACCGTGGATCTTTGACGTTGACTCTTTTGTTTCTTTTCTAACGTCGCTGACCGACAGTCGACGCTGGTTTTCGGCGGCGTTCATTTTTTATTATTTTATTTTTTTTTTTTATTTTTTTAGGGTAAATTACACCTACACCCTGAGGTATGCTTAAATAACTTAAAGGTCCCTGTGGTATCGATAATTACACTCACCCCCTTGAAACGTTGTTATAAACTCCAATGGGATAATGTATTGGATACGTTATTACGAGAGAGTTCTAACGGACTATTGGTTTCAGGAAATGGTGGAGACAACAAAGGATTATGAGTGATTTAAGAAATATTGGGGGAGCCATGTCACCCCATTACTCCCCACAACTCTATGTTATCTCCACCACTAGCTAAAAGTAATAGTCCATTAGAAACATATCGGAATAATGTATCCAATGCATTATCCCGTTAGAGTTTCTAACTACGTTTCAGGGGGTGACTGTAATTATCGATACCATAGGGTCCTGAAAATTATTTAAGCATACCTTAGGGGTGTGGGTGTAATTTACCCTTTTTTTTTAAGTTTTTTGTTCAACATTTATTTGTCCGTTTAAACAATAATATTGATGTGTTCGACGGATGTGTTAACTATATTACTGTTTAACACGGTAATATTAACTATATTACTGTTTAAACCAGTAATATTGCTATAATACTTTCTAACATAGTAATATTAACACAACAAAAATCACTATTATTGTGTAATACAGTAATATTAATATTTTGATTG